ACATTTTGCTACATTAGTCGCGAAGAAAATAAACAAGCTGCACGCTGAAAGTTGTGCAACGAAACTATACACGGTGCAGTCGGCGTATATTATCGAACTTTATTCGCCATCTGAAGAGGAAACGCGAGAATGAGTATGCGAAGGGTGGAAAAGGGCAGGCGAACCAGCCAAAAATTTAATTGAATATGATAAGAAATATCGAGATTCGTAAAGCAAGCGTGAACTTATCCGTTTTAAAACAGGTTTCGTGACATGGTCTATACGGTCCCTCGTGCTGCGCCGCAGATGTTGCATTTTGTCAAGGATGTGTTCTTGCCGCTGTGCATGGAGTCGCTTCCTGCAGTGTAGTAGCCGTGTTGCTGTATTTGAAGAATGCGGGTAGCGGACATTTCGTCGAACGCCATTTTATCGAAAGCAGTTTCATCGAATGAACGGACATTTCATCGAACGGTGTTTCATCGAATCGCTAAGGGCTGTTTCATCGAATTTCTCTGTTATGGCTCTGTACCGAGTTTTGGGGCATAACAGTGCTTTATAGATGTTTCACTGTGCATTTCTTAAGACTAAAGTAGTCACTTGTGAAATTGTTTTGAAGGTGGTGTCAAGTTACAAAAAATAAAAAACAATTTGCATAAAAAGAAATAAAAACACTTGGGTATGCGACTTACTGAAAAGCTTTACTCATGTACGTACATGACTCAAACCACGACACTGCAAAGGACAGACACTTAAAACACTTTTAAGTGTCTGTGCTTTCTGTTTTTGTCTCACTTTTAATTGTTTCATGTGACATGGAGAGGGGTCATTAGTTCATGGAGGCTTTCTTCTCGAAGCAGGATATGTTCACGATGGAACTTATCTTGTCACTGCACCTAGTGATATAAAAACAGAAACAAAAGAAGAAAAAAAAGGAGAATTAGATGAAGTTCTGTATAAAAATAAGTAAATTCCAAAATATTACAGACTGTAACGTTGTTCGATAAAAAGGCGTTCGATGAAACGGCTTCTATGAAACGGCGTTCGAGGAAACGGTGTTTCGTGAAACCGCTTCGATGAAATGGCATTCGATGAAATGGCGTTCGATGAAATGTCCGGACGCAGAAGAATACAGTAATATAGCTTATTCCTGCGCCACGCACGAACTATATATATTTATGGTTTTATCAAACAAACACGCTGGCCGCGTATGTCTTAAAAGTCAAATGCAAAAAAGTTAAAGAAAAGAAATTGAGTGGATTTAAGTTTTGCTGTTTGTTGCGAGCCACGTGGTCGCGAGACCGATGTCTTAAACAAGTAGGGACAGAACGAGCGGGTTGGTATGGATAGTTAAACTTGAGGAAGAAAACGAGAAAGTGTGTTTGTGTTTGTCCGTCCTTTCTCGTTTTCTTCCTCAAGTTTAACTGTCTTAAACAAGCATCGACATATCAAGGGGTAATTAGACATGAGGAAGATACATAGAAAGGGGGGACGGACAACGAAGACTTCCAACTAGCAACAACATTTATTGACCCGAAGTTTGCATATATAGGTGAAGGAGGGGAGAGTGAAAGACGCTACACTGGAAAGTGGGGAAAGCGATGGGAGAGGGGGTGTAGAGCCAGGGAAATGAGGGACGATCCCGTGGGGTAGACATCTAATCGCTTGGAACCGCGGAAACGAGGGACGTCAGCTCTGACCCCAGGAAGTTTACCTCCCTCCTGGATAAGCCTATGGACGGGGATCCGAAGTTGCTGTGACTGTGGTGCATGGCGAAGGCCTCCATGATCTCTCGTCCGTATCTTGAGGCGTGACCTCCAATCCTGGTGGTCGAGGGAAGGTCGGCCGAACAGGGTTCGCTGCACTCAGAGGTGTGTTTGGCAATCGGGTGGTAACAAATCTTTGAAGTGTCGAAAGCGGCTTTCTTGATCTCGTTTGCATGTTCCCTCACCCGATCGTTTAGGCATCGGCCCGTCTGTCCGATGTATTTAGCACCGCAGGACATGGGAATCGAATACACGCACTCTTTGCAGCAGGTTACATAATTGGTCTGGTGCTTTTTCTGGCACGGGGGCGCTGGACTGGGGTTGTTGACCCTTCTACAAATAGAAGCTAATTTGAACTTGCAGGAAAATACGACGTTGGTGTTGAAGCCGAGCGCAATAGATTTCAGGCGATGTGAGGTGTTGTGTATGTAGGGGATGCATGCGAAGCGTGACTTAGGAGGGAGGGGTTTGGACTTCTGCCCCGCGACAAGTCTTTTGATTGTTGTTTCAATCAGGTCTCTAGGGTATCCTGCCTTTATGAGGCGACTAATCTGCTTGGATAGGCTGGGGGCGGAAAGGTGCTGACAGGATTTAACCTTTGCCGAAGCAATTAGATTTCGAACGATCCCATTTTTTACATTCCTTGAGTGTGAGCTGTTGAAAGGAAGAACGGGCTTAGAGGACCTCTGCTGGTGAGCCCAGCAGATACCTTTGCTAGTTGGGACCAACTTGAGATCCAGGAACTGTAAGCCCTCAGGGGAGGGGGCCTCTTTGGTGAACGTAAGCCCGTGTGAGTTCTTCTGGAACACGGTATCTATGGCTGCAGAGTCGGAGATGGTGGAGTGTAGGAATGGGATCGTTCGAAATCTAATTGCTTCGGCAAAGGTTAAATCCTGTCAGCACCTTTCCGCCCCCAGCCTATCCAAGCAGATTAGTCGCCTCATAAAGGCAGGATACCCTAGAGACCTGATTGAAACAACAATCAAAAGACTTGTCGCGGGGCAGAAGTCCAAACCCCTCCCTCCTAAGTCACGCTTCGCATGCATCCCCTACATACACAACACCTCACATCGCCTGAAATCTATTGCGCTCGGCTTCAACACCAACGTTGTATTTTCCTGCAAGTTCAAATTAGCTTCTATTTGTAGAAAGGTCAACAACCCCGGTCCAGCGCCCCCGTGCCAGAAAAAGCACCAGACCAATTATGTAACCTGCTGCAAAGAGTGCGTGTATTCGATTCCCATGTCCTGCGGTGCTAAATACATCGGACAGACGGGCCGATGCCTAAACGATCGGGTGAGGGAACATGCAAACGAGATCAAGAAAGCCGCTTCCGACACTTCGGAGATTTGTTACCACCCGATTGCCAAACACACCTCTGAGTGCAGCGAACCCTGTTCGGCCGACCTTCCCTCGACCACCAGGATTGGAGGTCACGCCTCAAGATACGGACGAGAGATCATGGAGGCCTTCGCCATGCACCACAGTCACAGCAACTTCGGATCCCCGTCCATAGGCTTATCCAGGAGGGAGGTAAACTTCCTGGGACCAGAGCTGACGTCCCTCGTTTCCGCGGTTCCAAGCGATTAGATGTCTACCCCACGGGATCGTCCCTCATTTCCCTGGCTCTACACCCCCTCCCCCATCGCTTTCCCACTTTCCAGTGTAGCGTCTTTCACCCTCCCCTCCTTCACCTATATATGCAAACTTCGGGTCAATAAATGTTGTTGCTAGTTGGAAGTCTTCGTTGTCCGTCCCCCCTTTCTATGTATCTTCCTCATGTCTAATTACCGTTACCAACACGCTCGTTTTGTTCTTAATTCTTTATATCAAGGGGCTTTCTCAATGTTTGCAGCACATTGTAAATAAACACTTTCTGCCACCAGCGTCCGCTTAGTAAAAATCAGTGCTTTTTTCAGGAATTTAGCTTTTTTTCTTTTTGCAATGGACCTTTTCCGAGAAGCGTTCTGCGCTCGCGCGAGCGCCAGATGCCAAGCGGTGGAAGTCGGCACGAAAAATCGAGGAAATTCGGAATGAGGCTGTAGATCGCCGAGTAGAACACGTAATTGCAGCATATATATAATTGTGTTACAGAAAAAAAGAAAGTGGGCGGAAAGAAAAACACGACGTTTGGGTGGACGCTACGGATTTCCCTCTTTAAAGTCGCGTTGGGCACGCGACGCTAGCGAAGCAACTGGTAGCGTAGCTCCCATTATCGATTGGTAGCGCAGGTAGGTCACTTCCTCGATTTTTAGTTCGTGTAGCCACCGCCTGGTGCCGTCGGTATTTGGAAAAGGTCCATTGTCTCTGCATTTGATAACGTCAGCTTTATGCTGCTTATGCCGGCGAACACAATGTAGCTGTCAAGTGCCAATTTTTACGTTTAGGAATTAAAGAAATGGAATGGAACGATTCAGCCATTCCAGGAGTGGGAATGGGCTCAGTGTCTCCATTCCTAGGAATTGAAAGGAATTGAATTATCGAAAACTCTAATTCCCCGGAATGCAATTGGAATGGAATGGGGGTGCCCATTCCGCAACACTGGTCAATAGAACCGTAATGAGAGTTATGCCGAAATAACAAATCACATGTCATTCTCCTTTCAGAGAGGCAGTAAAGGTCTAAACTCCCGCTCATGACTGAAATAAATCCGCCTGGGAAAATAGCGGTCATAAATGTTCGAACAAATATCTTCTGTATAATTAAACTTGAGGAAGAAAACGAGAAGGGACGGACAAACACAAACTTCCGTGGAAGCTTGTGCTTGTCCGTCCCTTCTCGTTTTCTTCCTCGAGTTTCATTATCCATAGCAACCCGCTCGTCCTGTCCTTACATCTTCTGTATACATTTTTAAGTTTATGTGCGTGTGTGTTTTGTTTAGACAGTTCCCGGTGCTATCAGCTTCGACAAGATTAGCGATCATACAGATATAAGAAGCACGAAAAACTCCTAAAATGGCGAATCATTCGGGTGATCGCGCCCAAAGTGTGCGGTAACATGTTGCAACATGTCCAAAAACGTTCGATTAATTTTCTAAAAATACGCCCAGATCCCGTATTGGTGAGACGCGTTCAATCATGTAGTTATTTAGCATATCCATATAGCATAGGTAGCGCTCTGTTGCTTTCATCTTTTTTTCCCTTTTGGTTGCTGACGATTGATTACGTTGTCGAACCTTTTCCGAGCCACTTTCCAGAGGCCAATCTTATCTTGCTTATCATGTCCACCCCGAGAGCCTAGTCTTCGACAATTCCAATCAGTAGTAGTCTCGTCGCCGCTGGAGTGAAAGCAGCCGAACAAGATCGGTGAGCCGGGAAGGCACAGATCGCCCTTCGCCATGCTCGCAAGTCAAACTCTATTTTCTTGCTATCGCTGGCTCTTTTACTTTCCTGTTAGCCCACGACACGTAAAATGTGTGTGTGTGTGTGCGTGTGCGTGTGCGCGTGTGCGTGTGCGTGTGCGTGCGAGCGTGCGCGTGCGCGTGCGGTGCGCGTGTGTGTGTGTTATTTTTGTTATTACTGAGTTTGAGTATGACGTATACGATATACGAGCGAACGCAAGCACTGTACGTTTGCGTAAGCGTGCGTTGACGACGCGCATACGCCAGTGTGGAGCAGGCAATAGGGAATTGTAGTAGACCGTCCCCGCAGCCCGCTAAGCACCCGGATAGCGCTCCGTAATCCGCCACAAGACCTTGAACTATGCAGACAAGGCTGGCGGCGCGCATGCGCAGCTGCGGCGTTTTCTTCAGGCATACCGTAGCGGAGGAGAAAAACGATCTACTACAACTCCCTAATGCTAACGCAAACTTAAATCACTTGCGTTTGCTCCTATGCGCTATAAACGCTATATTCACGCGTGAATTTGTCGAAGTTCTACACACATCAGAGAGTTTTAGTATTGCGTATTGAAAACGTAAGCGCTGCGTGCTCCACGCTGCGCATGCGCGTCGTCGTCATGCGCCAATCCAAGACGCAGATCTGGGCGCTTCACGCGTTAGCATTGCGTGCAGTGGGGAGTATGCAATGCTAACGGAAACGCACAGTGCTTGCGTTTGCTCGTATCCACACGCAGTGGCGTACCAACTTGTTTTGAGTGGGGGGGGGGCAAACCAGACCCCCCCCCCCCCCAGGGCCGGGGGACGGTGCCCTTGGTACCCCTTGGGCGCCGCCGGGCTGTTTCGGGGGGGGGGGGGGGGGGGGGGGGGGGGGGGGGGCGAAACACATGCCTTGCCCCTCCACTCTGAGAGGTGTGTGTGTGTAGGGGGGGGGGGGACAAGCGCAACCTTGCCCCCCCCCCCCCCCCCGGTTGGTACGCCCATGTCCACGCTACCAAAACTTACTATTATCAAATTACAAAACGATAGCTGAGTGTCAGTCGGTTAATTCGTAATCACAAAATCCATATCCCATGAAAGGACGCGTTTCCTCGCGCGAAGTTTATGGACAATGACGGCAGTGCAATGTGCAATTTGCTCAGCCTTGCCTCTGATAAGTTAAGCACACTTGAAGGTAGTTGAAAACGGCACTGTGAAGACTTCTTGTGGAGCTCCAAGAAACCGAAGAACGCGAAAATGTGAAAGCTGAATGAGGCATAAATCCCAAGCGTCTTTGATGTTCAGGCTCGAGTTTATGACTCATTTGAATTATTTTATTGTATAAATTATTTATCCGATAATGAACTAGATACTGTCTGCCTTCGGGAGCTACGTTTCCGTATGTTCTCCGGCAAAAGAGCGAGCCAGATGTGTGAGTAGTATGTCATTACTCTTGCAAGGTTTCTTCGTGTTTAGAGATCTAGGTCCATATGAATCTTCAAAACAAAGTAAAATTAAGTACCTGGAGATTGGTACCACTCGCTATAAATTTAGAGTTTTGTCTATTCGTACCTGTATGTGCGTACTTGTGTGTGTGGGAGGGGCTGGGAAGAGGAAATATAAAAAGTTGTTTAAACCAACTTCGTGGATCTTTACTCACGAGTCATGCATTTTTTATTGAGTTATGGTAGTATACATATAGCCTATAGCGAAGCTCAGGCAACCATTTACTTGGCTTTTTTTTTTTTTTTTTTAATTTGAAACAATCCCCTTGTCACAACTCATTTTTCACAATGCGTACAAAGCGCAGATTTTGCGGCCCGCTTCACTTTCAATAAGTTTGATTGCAAACGCGTTTGTTTTGCGTATATCCTGTGGGAAAAACACCAAAGCAGATCGTTCTCTCTAATATCTAGAGTCCGAGAATACGAACGCAACACGTCTACGCTTCAAATTCGAAACTGTTTTTCTTCTTTTTTTTTTTCCCCCTTTTGTATTTCGGAACTTTAAAGCCATACTCTCATACTCACGATGTTAGATCTCCATCGACACACGCAGCTCGCCTGCCTACCCTCACTGCTTATTTCGCCATTCTCTCTCTTTCTGATTTCTTACTTCGTCCGAGAGCAGAGGACAGCCCTCGTGTGCTGCATCTACCGATGTCGCCTGCATTACCTCGCACTCGTTGTCCTCTGTGCCACCATAATTGCCTTCGTGGCCGTCGCAAGACTACCTGGTGAGCTTTACTAATCCAAGTGCCGAATTCGCCTTGTGAAACAGGTTTTCTTTTGCGACCCGTACAAAGGAAACTGTGCGTTCGCGCATACTCGTATTTGTTTTATACGCGTAACGGCCTTTCGTGTCAAAAAACGAATCCCAGACAAAAGCACATCGGACAAAAGCTCACTTGACAAAAGCTCACCGGACAGAAGCTCACCGGACAAAAGCTCACCGGACAAAAGCTCACCCATTTTTTTCACAGACCCGGACAAGAGCTCACAGGAGAAAATTTAATGTTGGTCCTAACACGAGTGCGGACAACTTAAGTGCATGCGTACGATGCTAAATTGCAATAATTAATTAAATCTGACTGGCGCATGGTTTGTTGATTATAGTAGAAACAAGTTAATTTATCAGTTGGCTGGAAGCAGATGCAGTCCCCTACTAGCTACAACAGTCTTGGTATAGATCTGTAAGCTCTCGCAAATATTTTTAAGACGATTCTGCAGGCGCAGAGTGGTTTTTCGCACCCGCTTTACTGGGGGCTCACCTCTCCGGGCTTGTGTCCATGCCCTGGCAACGAGCGTCTGATTTTGCTGTAGGCATTCAATCAGCCTCAAGACACTTAGATGTGCGTGGCCGACGAGCTTCTGGAATTCGGTATTCCATCCTTCGCAGGTGTTGTTCGTCCAGTCTTTATCTTTGAAGAGTGGCGTCGTACATATTCCACCGTTCCGGGGGGAACTCCGGTCGTCGTCGGCGCACAGTCAAGCGATGGGAAGAATTCGTTCTGGGTGCCGCCTCAGAAGGAACAGAAGCATAGCGGAAGCGGCCGTTGACATACGTGCAATCAAAATAGTCCAGCAGGTAGCCGATGTCACCGGTAGACTTTTCCCTGATGGTTAGTATTTGTGGAACAAGCTGTGGTGGAAGGAACGTGAGCCTATCCAAAATTCCGCACATTTTTCTAAATTAGTCATCTGTCTTGAACTTTTCCAAAAGGCCCAACTCCCGTTCCTTCAGGATATTTTTAAAAATTCGCAACTCAATGGTTTGCATATTACAGTTTTGCTTCAGTTTCCCTTTCAAATCACCTTGGGGATAATCCTTCATATCAGATATATTTATTGCGCACAATGACGGAAACAATTCAATTTTCTTATTAGCCATTCACTTTAAATATTACCCTGAACCCCCAAAACGCCATCCATTAGTAATAAAGAGACATTGAGCCTAACATTTATGGCGCGTTAAGTGTGACATACGCACAATGAAAAAGCGAGGCCACCGAAGGGTAACTTCGCTTCTTCGGTCACTCTTCGGGTTCAGAAAATTAGCTTCACGAAGTTTCTTGGGCGTGGCACAAAGGTGCTTTAGCCTACCTTGAGTCAAGCAAGCTTGAGCTTCTCAGCTTCACTCAGTTTCGGTGACCTAAATTTTGGTCCCAAATCGTTGCTTCTCTGCCTGTTTAGGCTTAACTGTTGACATCGTTGCATGGGATGGGGTACAAGTTCTCCTAAATATGGTCCAATGTCCATCCTGTCCGCACTTTATTTCAGCCCGTGTTTCGCCCGGGTAGCAAAAAAAAATTGAGGTGAGCTTTTGTCCGGGTTTGTCAAAAAACGGGTGAGCTTTTGTCCGGTGAGCTTTTGTCCGGTGAGCTTCGGTCCGGTGAGCTTCGGTCCGGTGAGCTTTTGTGCGGTGAGCTTTTGTCCGGTTACCCAAAAACAGCTTAAACCAATCACTTAAATTGTAAGGCTAGCCTAATCACTTTCTTCACAGATTTCTATAAATACAACGACGTTTTATAACACGGGAAGCAATTTTGACAAAACCAACAAGATGTGAAACTAATTTTCAGATTCTGAGGATATAGTTCACATTTACTGTTTGTGTTGTTACCTACAATGCTTGAGCAGGAGACTAAAAAACAGCGGCCTTGGCTTTGGTGTCTTATACTATAGCAAAGATTTTCTCTTGAACAGTCACGTCAAGTTCTAGCGTACCCCAATTATATGGTACAATTGACCACATGGATCCGCAGCAACTAATGAGCATACATGGTACAGAAGTACACAGGTTTGGCCTAGAGTTCAGTAACGGCAAGTCAGCGATCATAATTTTGAATGATCATCAATGCGAAGAGCTTACGGTCGAGACAGTCGATAAATACAAGTGCCAAGAAATATTTACGAAGGTCCAGAATTCAAAAGCATAAAATATACATAACTGGCAAGGAACACAGAAATGCAACTGTAATAGAGAATACGGCATGCACAGCGGAAATATAGCATGTATGAGGCGGCAAGCGAGATTTAAAAGGCAGTTACAGTACCGAGACTGACTTTTGGAAATGCAGTTCTGTACATGAGATCGGATGTTTAAGCAATGTTAGAAATAAAGCAACGCGGAGTGGGCAGTGTAGCTCTGGGAGCACATCCGTAAAACACCGAATCAAGGGGCACATATGGTGGTAAGTGATGATCGTCATTCAAAGCTAGGGAAACTAGTGATAATATAGAATTTGAACACATATAGATAAATAGATGAGAGACGATGGGGCATGAAAGGTTTTAAAGTATTTCGGCCTGAGGAGTGTCGACACAAGATGAAGGAGGTGAACTGAAAACTCGAGTCCGATTTTCGGGGCGCGCATGAGGAATGTAAACTGTGGGTATGCATGCTAAATAAGCCTCGGGGACAGACAGATATTCAAAATGATATTGTTAGAGAACGTATATAGGACAATTCCAGAGGGAGCTCATTGTTGGTTTAGATCAGGATATGAGTATTGCGAGCTGAGATAAATACCAGGGTATTGGACTGCCCAAGTAAACAATCTCCGAGGAGAGATTTATAGATCCATTGGCTTACTTTTTAGGTGCAGACTTGTTCCAAACTGGTTAAAACGACAAATCTATACATCTCTGATCCACTCGAGGCTTTATTACTGTTTATTGGTGGGGCGGGGTGGGGAGAAAATAATATTAAACAATTACTTACATTACAAAAACGTGCGGTTCGGCTAATTGATAATTTGCCCCGGTTTTAATCGACTTCTTAGAGTTTTAATAAACATAAAATACTTACGGTAGATAATCTTTTTTGCCTAAAGGTGGCGATTTCAATTCATCCTCAAATCAACACTGATCCTGACATCTTTCACGAGACGTACCTACCCAAGCAAACAAATTACAACCTGAGACACCAGCAGTTTTCAAAATCAACAATTAGAACTAATTATGGTACTCAAAAATTATCCTACCAGATTGCAGTTATCCTAAACAAACATTATTGCGTGTGTGAGCTGGCCCAGGAAATCACTTCCATGTTTCATTTCAAAAAATACATAAAGGAATATTTTAATGTTGCGAGTGTGCATACCTAATGAGTTATGTTATTAATCAGTGTGATGTTTTTAATCTTATTTGTAAGCTGAAGAGTCTTTAGCTGGGTGATATAATTTATTTCTTGACTTGTGCTGTGAGCTGGCTTTTTATTTCATTTTTCTCCCTTGATTTGTGTCCTGCTGTTGAGTGTTGTTACAGGGGTTGGGACCCAGTCAGGTAATTGTATCTTAATAGGTGGGAACAGCGCAGGAAAAACCGACGAAGGACGAGTAGAAGAAGTGCACAAACACAGCGCTGACTAACAACGGCGCCCCGGAAGTTATCTCGACTATGCTCCGCCGTTAACCGAGGGTTGAACAGGGATAACCACTGTGATGTTAACCACCGCGATCCGTTTGTCTCATGCGCAGTAGGGGTTGTATACCAGATCCCCTTCACATGTGGTCGGGTTTACATTGGACAGACAGGGAGGTGTGTGAACGTGAGGGCGAGGGAGCATTCCCTTGCTCTCCGTTCCTCACCCTCTGGCCACCTTGCGGTACATTGTAGTAGGTGCGGCTGCGTTCCCCTGTTCAATGAGTTGACGATCTTGGCGCGCAACAAAAACAAGACTGCCCGGGAGATTGATGAGGCCTTTTATATTTTATCAAGGGGGGAGGAAGAATGCGTCAGTGCTCCGTCGGTTAACTTGGGGGCTGACGAAGTGTTTTTTATCAAGAACTGTGGCAGACGTGTGTGAAAGTGATATGGCGTGGTAGTGTCTTGTTTTATCGGGTTCCCTCCTTTTTATTGGCTTCTGTGTTTTTTCCTCTCCACACCCAGTGTTTACTTTCTGGTTCGCTTGAAAATAAACATTCAGTTGTTAGTCAGCGCTGTGTTTGTGCACTTCTTCTACTCGTCCTTCGTCGGTTTTTCCTGCGCTGTTCCCACCTATTAAGATGCTTAACCAACTCGCCCAACTCTCTGCCAGGTAATTGTATTCGCCTTTTGTCCCAACCCACTGACAATTGTGTCAAAAATAAAATAAACAAACAAATAAACAATAGGCAGTGTCGAGAGCTTGCGGAGAAGAAAAAAAAAGAGGCAGCTGAACATTTCTGACGCATGATACTGTATTGGGGTTTCATCCTGCAGTTGCCAAAGGCAAGAGTGATTTAGCAAAAACGTTCGGCATTAGGGCCAGCGAAGGGAAAAAAACGTTTGGAATGCTGAAATAACTAAGTAGAGCGCTACCTCACTGTGGCATAAGTCTAGTGAAGATAAGTATATTTTTTATAAAGGACGCGTACCTGGTTACAAAGAGGTGTTTCCGTTACACAAATCATAACTTTTGGAAGTATTCTTTTAAAGAAGCTTAAAGTTAAAGTGTATGCAAACTGCCACCCGATTAAAAGGTTCAGCCGTATGCGTACGTACATTTATTCATTCATCCATTTTCTTTGTGTCTTTCTTTTATTTCCAGAAAGTCGCCCCTCGCCAAGGTTTTCCAAGATCGTCCTTTACGTCCACCCTCAAAGTCACAATGTACCGGTTTCGGGTAGCGGCTACCAAAACAGCACAGTGACGGGTACCCTGTTTGCCAAAGCTCTGAACGGCTCCAGTTCCTCCAAACTGTTCCTGACTACCGAACCTGGCCGGACCCTGACACGGCGCCAGGCGTGCGTCGTTCAGTCTGCCGCCTTGCACAATCCCATCTTCAACGTCCATCTCCTCTTGCTCAGTCATCCCAGTCAGATCCCCGTTCCTCTGGACTCGCGGGAAGACTCGCTCTTCTTGAAGCCACTGAGTCGAATGAGGAATGTCCACATTTGGAACTTGCAGACAACGGACTTGTTTCTAGGCTCCTACCTCCACAGTTGGCTCGAGAGGGGCATCAGCGGACGCCCTGACCATCTAATGGACGCCATCAAGGTTCTGGTTCTCTGGAACTTTGGCGGGACGTTTCTGGACCTGGATTTCCTGGTCTTGAGATCCTTCCAGCACCACTTGGACAACTCGGTTCTCGAATACGGCGGGGGATTTCTGACAACGCGGTTCCTCTCGTTCGAGAAGGGACATCCCCTACTCGGGGTCTGGCTGAAGGACTTTAATTTGAACTACTCACCCGACGAAGTAGTAGACTTTGGAAATGTCGTGCTTACCCGAAACGTTCGAAACCTGTGCAACGTTTCTTCGTTGGACGAAGTGGGAAAGAGGCGCACTTGCAAGGTGGACGTAATCCCCGGAAAGCTCTTCTACCCGGTGCATCGCCGGGAAGCGGACGACATCTTCTCGAACGACATCTACTCGCCCGATGCCAGTCAGCACCTGATGTCTAGGACGGTGAACAGCTACGCCATCTGCCTTTGGAGTGATATTACGAGCGGCATCGCTTACAAGCGGAACTACGCACCGTCTTATGTGGCGTTTGAGAGACGACAGTGTCCAGATATTGCCAGACTGTTACCTTGCGACGACACGTTTTGTCATCCTTAATTATCGTCGCTCGCGTCCGAACAAGTCGCGTCTAGTCTGGGAACCGAACTTTTCCTAAAGAAGGAGGGCACCTAATGGTAAGGCTGAAACGGAAAAAAATTAGCACAGGTGACCGACGACAGGAGTCGTCAAATCGCGACACGCGGCGCTACTGTTCCCGAGCGCGCCGATAGCGAGAGTGCCAGTCACGAGAGAGTTTTAGCAGATCGTTTTTTCGCCCCGATAACGACACCCGATAACGACACCATGCATACCCATGACTGCCGGAGACGAGAGGAGGTAACGTTATCGGAGCCAAAAAACGATCTGCTAAAACTCTCTACAGTCTCAACGGGGGGTGGCCGACAGAAAACAGCCCATCCTAAAGACCGAATTTCGGAAGCTATCTTGTCCCTAAATTTTCTGCCGGCCACCCCCGCGTTGAGACCTGGACTCCGCTCATCGGTCACTTGTACTAATCTTTTTCCGCTGCTACTGTACATCCGTTAGAAACGCCAAGGGAAAAGAGGTAGGAGACACAACGGGAGACAAACGTGTAACACCGAGGTGAAAACACTGCCTTTGAAGCAAACGACCTGGAGAATGGTGCAAGTCTAAAGCTGTTGCAAAAGTGCTAATTAATGTGTCCCCCTTTTGTGCACTTCAAATATATTGAAGCGCCGGAGGTGAAGTAATAAAAGTTGCTTCCTTCTTTATTCTTGCGCCGATCATAGAAGACGATAAAACCTTGAATTTTGAACCAGTGTGACCAATTTCAAAAGCGGAAGAATCTCAGGCTCTCTAAACACAAGCGTCTTCTTGCTTTGTTTTGCTCTCTGCAGTAAGAGAGCTGGGTTAACTTGCCTCGCTATTAATCCCCGAGTGGTGTTTTGTACCCCGCCACGATAAAAACAGTGCAATGAAAAAAAAAACGGTTTCGACGAATACCGATCAGTTTAATTGACCTAGGCAGTGACCACTTCTGCCGCCATTTAATTCTACCTTCCTGCACATGCGTCTGTCCAAACAGGATACTTCGAAAATCGTGAGGCGTGTCACCTTCCTTCCGAGATTTTTTTTTTTTTTTTTGGTCAAAGGTCGCTTGTGTTTTTTACGGGGGCCTTGAACATGCATGCTCATCACGTGATTCCGGACAGCCACTGGCAAGCTCTGCTGGCTGTCGGTCAATCGCTCAAGGCTTGCGCTGCTCTTCAGGTCCCGAAAACGGGAAAGGAAAGGTCTGTGTTCGAAATCTTATCCAAATATATCCGAGCTACTCCGGCGAGTCGTGTCACGTGATAACACAGCGACGCTGGAAGCGGGTAAGTTTTCGAACGCAAATGTACAAAACCTTTGCCCTGAAGTAAGATCGAGTGAATTTTGGAACACGGCCAAGGATTTGAGGGGCCCGGCAGAACAGATGGACAGCATTGGCAGGTGGCGTGTGACGTCCAGTCTGACGAGCAGCAAGGTCACCGAAAAGCGGAGGAAGCGAGGAGGAAAATCGTGATGTTTGCTTGGCCGGCGTCCAAACAGACATCGTACTGTCGGACGCTACAACTTTCACGATTTTTGACAGTCCTGTTTGGGCATAAATCGGCCACTGAATAGAGAGTTTAAGTAGATCGTTCCGGATACCTCCGATACTTCCGAGAACGATACGATGGATGCGCAAAGGCGGCGGCGGAGTATCGGGTATCATGGTCAGAGTCATCGGAACCATCAACTAAGACTCTAATGTCATCGATAATGTCAATGCGTTTCACCTCCGGTATAAATCTTTGTCTAGCCTCAGCCAAAAATGTTTTTTTTTTTATATTTTTCTACAATTAGAATTTAGAATTCTACTAGACAGAGCAAATTCAACAAGCAAGGCAGTAAAACTCGTCTATATATACAGGGTGTTTTCTTAAGCTTTACAGATTTCTTTAAGAAAAGCCGCGAAAGTTGCACTTAAGCGGATTGTGCAGGTAAGTTATACAGCCAGGGAGACAATATGTGGGTGGCTAATCTTTGTGATAAAACGGCTAATTAATTAAAATTCGTTAATTAACGTTTTAATTACTGAAAATAGACATATGGTTCCAATCAGAAACTTAAGCGTCATCGAAAACCACTAAATGAACTTTTTTTTACAACGGCTTGAAGCTCGGGGGAAACTCGGGGGCGCGCCTAAGTTACCACTCGTGAAGCAGGCGCAAAGCTAGCAGTGGCGGAACACGGATGATAATCTTGGGACAATAATAATTTGGGACATGTGCACACTTAATTAACTAGAATCTCAAAATGTTTGCATTGAATGGCTTCCCATGATACTTCTCGGGTCTGCATGCGCTTTTACTGCGCAAAAAGCAGGCTCTCTTGAGGTGACAAGCGAAACTCCCGCACCCTCGACGCTTTTCGAACCAGCACTCGGAAGGGTTACAAAGCCTGCCAAGCGCTTACTTCCGGGACAAGCCGCTTACTTCCGGTGGCTTCTTACCTGTTTGCTGAATGCGCCATCCAGCCCCCTATAATAGAGATCAGTGTATCTGCATGCCTTTGTCCACTGGCTCCCCCGAGTCAGAGCGAAGAAAAGCGTAAGAGTAGCAAGCCTTTGCGTCTACCCGCCATCCTTCTAAAAAGAACTCGGCACACTAACATCGCCCTCACGCTCTCACCACCTCGCCTTTCAGAACTTCCGTTGATCTCGCGCGCTCGTGCCAGGCTGTACCAAGAAAGCGCGGATCTAGTAGCGTACAAACGCGGAAAGTGGTAAAAAATGTACCAAAAAAGGGCATTTTTTTTTTTTTTTTTTTATGGCAAACGAATTTTTTGTTACAAATATTCTTTTCGCTAATAAGGTAAAACGGAGAATAATCAGTTTTGAAGTGAGGCGCCCGCATAAAAGTGAACCAAATTGCAGATCGATAACCTTAATAAACCCCTGTCGTTTTTGGTTTTTTTTTCAGTTCACGGGCCATTAATTGGAGAATGGCAAAACAATAACCGACACCGAAAAAGAAAACACGTCTGCCTTCAAAAAAAAATGAAGACCTTAGGTCAGGGACAGTGGTCGATTCATAAAAAAAACTTGCGTCGAAAGGTCGTTAAAAAAAAAAAAAAAATACTAGTCGATTTTGGGGGTTGCGTAAAGCAGGTCTACTTCAATAAGCTCGTTCTATTTTTCTGCAAACAGGATATAAAGAGCAATATTTCTATTATTATTGTAGCCTGCGCGATCTCGCTTGTTGTTATCCTATACTTGGCTACTTTATGTGTATTATAAAATCATAATTTTCCTGTGAACTGGGCAATTATCGTGTGAAAAAAATGAAACGACGCTGAGATGGTGAAGTTTAGTTTGGCAAAAGAATGAGAGGGGTGCGAAAACCTACCTCAACCGGGCTGTGCCAAGGGTTTCCCAAAATAAACGCCGCAGGGCTTGAAAACGTTGTTCTAGTTGCGCGATAAATAGGCATCGGAGGAAATGCATGCAACCACATGAAAATAACTTCTTTTTTTTTATTTTTGGGTTATTTAATTTTACTGGCTAAAACTTTGAAAGCATGCCACTATCTAAAATTCTTTGCGTTTTTGTGTGTGTGTGTGTTTTTTTAATGGCAGGAGTAAAAACGCGATGTATTCCGTCAGCTAAATCGGCGTTACAATAAAACGAATCACGCTGAACATGTGGAGGTATTTGTAGGCGTGCAAACTTCATGGTCTCTCCCCGTGGGCCTTCATTGTCCAGAATTTCTATATCTTCCAAATGAAACGTTGTTTATTCGGCCTCCTATACGAATATGCTATTGCTAAGTCCAGTGAAGCTTTCTAGGACATCTGTAAAAGTTTCATGGCTTCGTGTTCATGCCCCTGCGTGCTGTGCATAATTTATACCCCTGTCAGACGGGCTAGTTTAGTGTCACTACAAGCGAGATGCACTTCAACTCGTCGAAACACACTCCAAGTGTGTTGGTGCTACACGGGAAAACTTAAGTGTCACTCCAAAACGATGGCAAGGACGATGGGTAAGTAATGGGCATTCAAAATATTACAGTGCATACGCATTTTTTCACAAATAACTTCGTCGTCTTATTAGAAACACGTTACCACACATTGTTGCGCTAAGTCACGAGCTTTAATCCAAATTTAAATCCAACTTGATCATTACGATTAGCCATTACAAGCCAGTGATACACGTCCGCACGCCGGTACAATGCTCATATATTAAAAAAAATAGATCGAAACGAGCAGAAGTAGGGATTGAACCCAGGATTTTCCTGGGTTCTGCAGCGCGAGCTTTCGCTCCGCGTGCTCCGAGCTGGTGTGCGCGAGCCCACTTGGCCACTCGCCACAGCTAAACATCATGGAGTGTGTGGAGGACGAGCTGGAGGGCGATATCCGCGATGTTGGACAGTGGAAGCGCGTGATTGGGGCACTTTTTTCCGTGAGAGCCCTACGCTTTTCAGATGAGAGGCAGCTGGACCTCGATGCCGACGCACAGGCAAGAATTTCAAGCGACATCGATCAGCAGCTGCAGGCCAATGCCTTCACCATAGCCGCTCTCATTACCGACAACCTACCCGTGATCAGTCGAGAACGGTGGACTTCCCAGAGGAACGAACGGTGGTTCGAAGACACCTTGCCCCATTTGGGCGAGTTCCATTTCAAGCAAGCCTTTCGCGTCCCTCCTGCCACCTTCAGATTCCTGGTGGAGTCTTGCAGGTGCCTCCTGGCCGTCGCTGGCCGTCGCGCAGGGGCCAAAACTGGAAACCACAGGGTGAAACAAGGAGACGCCAGGCTCTTTAAATCGACCGGAAAATCCGGTTTCTTAATCTAACGCGCTACGACTTTGTGCAGCGTTGCCCACAGATGGTGCATTCTTTTTTTTTTTTTTTTTTGTAAAATTTGCGAAGAGCGCGAAATTACCCGAGGAAAAGTAAAGAAAGAAAAAGGCTTAGCTCCTATCGAAACGCAGCGACGCCACCGGTGTTCAAACAACACGGTGCCGTTTCGCACAGGAGACGAGAGATGGCGCAAGAAACGCCGCCAACGAACGAGCATACGGCGCCGAGAGCAGTCCTTTTTAGCAAACGATCTTTTCGACGAAAATAATCCCTGGAGAAGTGGAACGAGAGGGACAAAGGACAAACATAAATCTCCAAACACAGCTAGGTGACTGGTGAGCGACCGAAAATATCCGCCTGGTCCGGGTATCGAATCCGGGACCTCTCCATTACAGGTGTAGCGCTCTACCAACTGAGCTAACCAGGGGTTAGACGTCAGTATAGCAAACGGGTTTTATCAGCCGCCACCAGTCTAACACCAACAAGGGTGAAGCTTGCAATTTAAGCTTATAATTATAATGCAATTAAATGCAAAGGTGCAAGCGAGCTGGACAAGAATGACTTTTCGACTCAAAAGAGGCGCGCGTTCCACAGGCGGCGACAGTCGCAGAAACAAAAAAGACAGGCGCGGTAACAGCAGGGAACTGCAGCTCCTTGTCTGCAAAAGGGCCGGCTCTCGGCGTCTTCTGCTCGTTCGTTGGCGGCAGTTGCCGTCGCGACCGCTTGCGCCATCTCTTGTCTCCCGTGCGAAACGGCGCCGTGTTGTTTGCAGATCGGTGGCGTCGCTGCGTTTCCATAGGAGCTAAGCCTTTTTCTTTCTTTACTTTTTCCTCAGGTAAGTTCGCTCTTCGCAAATTTTACAAAAAAAAATGCACCATCTGAGGGCA